TTATGCAAAAATATTAGAGCTACATGATTGTATTGACCTTTACCTAAACGGGAGAATCTACGTAGCACTCAGTTGATGTAATAAATTCATAAAGATATAATACAAAACACATAATACAATAGAACGAGAAAMAATGRAATACAATACATTTTATGAATACATTACATCAACTGCGTGCTACGTAGGTCACCCCTTACCTAAACAAGCAGGAGACTGGGTACTAGTTATCTAAATTAACCTAATTTAAAAAAATAAATCATATCATTGGAAAGACCTCCACAAAATAAACAAGACTCCAAAGTATGGTTGTTTTTGGTTAAATAATGTGAAAGAAATGGACCTTCTTAAAAATTACAAAGAAATGTATGTACTGAATGGACACTGTCCATCCAAACCATACATTTCCTTGTAATTTTCGAACATTTTTTCAATTAGGTTAATTTAGATAACTAGTACCCAGKCTCCTTCTCGTTTAGGTAAAAGCCAATTGTGATGGATTATTTACACGCCAGCAAGTATGTTTTAAGCAACAAATTCTACCTGAGATTTTCTATTGTCCCACAAAGTTCCTTTAATCTCCCCATGTCAAATAACTGTGTCAGATCATATGATTTTGTCCTGTTTTCATCATCATAACTATCTTCATTTATCTCTTCCTCCTCGTATGAATTTGGCTGTGAAAGAAACCAAAGGAGTCTCTCTACTTCATATATAATCTTTTGTTCCTGACTAATGGTACTTTTTCGGTGAGGGTATTCCACTTGTTTGATCTAGTATAAAAAGACACTGAGATGTTACAAGGCCTAGTTTCATATTTTACATATTGTATAATGTGACTTGAGCTCTGGCAAACATTACATTTTAATTCTAACGTCAATGAAATCTGAAAATGCTAGACTGCTTTCCAATACTAAACCTACTTATTAATAATTATACACCAAGTTGGAAAATGTTTTTAATTAATGGCTGTATAATGGCAATGATTGGTTTGCTATAAATTAAACAACATTCAGAGGTTTGTTTGATAGAGACCAATAACATATTTTGAACTGTTTTGGAAAAAAAAAAGGAAACAAACACATTCTCTTGGACTTAGAAAAACAAAAAAGGGCATTACCAGTTGATAAGGTTGCCCAAATGACTCCTTTTCTTTAACTTGACATAATTCTTTCTTTTCAAACAGGGCCATTTGAGAACAACAACCAAGATGGTCTGTTCCTTCTGGCCCTTCGCCAATGCCTTGGAAAGTTACATTATAACCATACTTCGATGCTTGACATGACGACCTATGCAAGAATGATTGCACCTCATTAATAAGGATTAGTGTCCAAGTGATTGCCTCAGTCGCAGCAATATGAGATTTACATTGCTGTCAATTTGCTTGAGCAAAATAGATGTAAAAACATGTTTTTGCGTGATTTAGATATTCCAGAAGAATATTATGGACACTAGACCTAATCTCCATTATTGATTGTTACCATTAAAATAGATTTTGTTCAACTATGCAAAATTTTACACACAATCAATATTTGTATGACTGTGCAATGAAGACACAGCAAGACCATTGAGAACACTGGTATTCATGTCAAATGAAAATCCTGATTCAAGAATACATCACGGTACGGACTTGTCACAAAAACAAATGGCATGTTCTTTGTACAGTCATACAAAGTCTGCTCTACATGGCACATCCATATACTGGTAGTGACAATATACTAGTACAATAGAAGAAATTGAAGAGAGAATAGATGATAGTGACAGAATGTATGTGCAGGAAAATCAGAACGAAATCATGTAAAACGGAGGACAAAACCTGACTTGTCAATTTGAAAAAAAAAAAAAAAATCTTACCATTTTTCAAATTCTTGCCTGGTCCATTCAAATTTATGATCCCAATGACGGAATCCTTCCAAATTTGGAAACAGAACATTGAAATCAGCATTAGGAGTAGTAACTATGACAACCTTGGGTGACAGCTGACCAAAGACTACTGCAGGCATCTTTTCTAGATGTTCTGGTATAAGGTGTTCAATGCTGGATATAAAGATACAAAATTGGAATATTAAGTGGAATTATATTAAGTTTCTCATTGGGGGTTGGTATACCTTGAAGGGAACCTCAAGGCCTCGTGTAAATTATACTAAATACATGTACTCTGGATTCAAACCACTGACAAACAA